CACCATCTTCTTCCCAGAGGTGAAGTTCAACTCCACTTCACCACAACCAGCAACCATAGTGGTGTGAGTAGTCCCCAGCAGCACTTTCTTGTCAGCAGGTGCTTCTGTGTATGTTTTAAACATAGCACGATTGTTGCATACATGCTTCGATGCACCTGTATCCAGCCACCAACCTTCTGAGCCACCGGTGAGGTTAACTTCAGCGATCATATCCGTGATCATGGCTATCAAATCCTCCTCTGTCAAGTTAACCCTGGCCGCAGCGGCAGGGTTTTGCTTGTTCCGACACTTTTTTGCCATATGACCCGGTTTTCCGCAGTTATAGCAGATAAACGGTGGGTCATTCTTAGAGGTTGGGGCCATGACCCTTTGGTTACCTCGAAAGGCACCATTCTGGTGAGGGCGGACCTGCTGGTTCTTACTCTTAAACCCTTTCTGGTTAGGTTTAAGAGCTCAAGTAAACCAACCGACCAACCGGTCGGTCGGACGAACGGCGCGCGCGTGTATGTGGTGGTCCGTTAGGTCCTCCCTCTTCCATAAAAGTGGGTCACCCCAAGGGGCATATGCCCTTAAGAGAGAGGCTCCTATCTTTATACACATTTCACCAAGTAAAACTACCAATGTGGTAGTTTTTCCACTTGAGACTCTATAGCTTTCAAAGCTATTCATACATACATTTCCAACAGATGACGGCCCATCGGGCGTCCTCAATAAATAGCATTCTCTTGAGGAAATCAGCTGCTTCTCCGTTCATGAGAATGCCCTGGCATTAAAAAGTATGGTCCATGAAATCGTACAATAGAGGCGATTCAACCACAAAATACCCGGGTTAATTGCATGGTTGGTCACTGAGATTACAAAAAATGTTCATATTTGGTCACTGTAAATATTTAAATCCAATTTTGGTCACTCAAATTAGTTAAATGGTTCAAGTTTGGTCACTCTCCGTCCAACTCCGTTATATTTGTCTGATGTGGCAGTCAACCCTCAAAGTTGACCGTTAACTCAGTGACGTGGCAATTAAAAAATAATAAATAAAATAAATTTTAATCTTCTACCATTTCCAACTCACTTTCACAATAAACAATAAAATAAAATAAATAAAACTATTTAATTACAAATTGAAAAGGGGCTTATCACCGAGGACGACAACAACCACCACCTCTGCTCCGCCGCCGATGACAACAACCACTGCCTCCGCCGCCTGTACCGGGACCTCTCCACCATCCTCCCCCACCGACTCGGCCCCGACGATCTCCTCCCCAAGGACGTTCTCCTGATCCTCGAGCGGCACAACAACGATCTCGCCCTCGTAATTCCCCCTCTCCCTCTTGAGAACGGAAACTTAAATGGCGGCGGGGGAACCACGGCAAGGAGGAGGATCACTAATTTTGTTCGAAAGAAGAATCAAAGTAGTAATCACTTATTGAAATGGCGAAAACACAGAGCAAATAAATCTATATCCAGAGACAATAAGAATCAGAAAGGAAATTGGGACGGAAAGGGATCAAATGGCAAGAGCAAATGCCAGATGAAGAGAATTAGTTCCAGTCAATGATTATCTTCTCAACCAGGATGTTCAATCCTTCCTAAAAACAATAAAACAGCAGCACCAGTGGAGTAACATTCAGATAGCTTTTCAAGTATGTAGGAGAAGACGGGAGCAGCACCAATGGAGCACCATTCAGAAATTGGAGCAATTCAGCTTAAGCCCACAATAAGTCGCACATCTAGGATCTGGGGTTCGTTCAATACAATTAGAAATGAAATGGGAAAGTTGCAAAATCGAAAATTGTGATCTCCACAAGTAAAGCTTAAGCGATTAGCTACTGCAGGAATAGGGGGGGGGGGGAGTATGATAAAAAGGGAATAAGTTGTGGTGGCGTGACCTCTCAGCGGTGGCGACATTAGTGGAGACGTCATCTGTGCAGGCGAACTGCAGAGCTGAGACGGTCACTTCCCTGCTCTTTCCCTTCTCCATCGCTTCCCTAAGAATCGCACAACGGTTTTGATTATGCGCAGCGGCCCTCGCTCTCCTTTTCTCTGTGTCTTCTTTCTATCGCCTATGTCGAGTTACGCAGAAGCAGCGAACGAGGCGGCGGCTAATGGAGATGAGGTTGGAGCGAGGCGGTGGCTAATGGAGATAAGGGCGAGATCGTTGTTGTGCCGCTCGAGGATCAGGGGAACGTCCTTGGAGAGGAGATCGTCGGGGCCGAGTCGGTAGGGGAGGATGGTGGAGAGGTCCTGGTACAGGCGGCGGAGGCAGTGGTTGTTGTCATCGGCGGCGGAGGAGAGGTGGAGGTTGTTGTTGTCATCGGTGATGAGCCCTTTTCAATTTGTAATTATAATATTTTTTATATTTATTTTACTTTATTGTTTATTGTGAAAATGAGTTGGAAATGGTAGAAGATTAAAATTTATTTTATTTATTATTTTTTAATTGCCACGTCACTGAGTTAACGGTCAACTTTGAGGGTTGACTGCCACATCAGACAAATTTAACGGAGTTGGACGGAGAGTGACCAAACTTGAACCATTTAACTAATTTGAGTGACCAAAATTGGATTTAAATATTTACAGTGACCAAATATGAACGTTTTTTGTAATCTCAGTGACCAACCATGCAATTAACCCCAAAATACCCGTATCAAATGCTAAACCGATATGCAGTATTTGACGGTACTAACGATTGAACTATCATTAAACAACGATATTATTAGGGCTGGGAAACGGTGCGGTCTGGTCCAGACCAGACCATATATACGGTCTATGGTCCAGACTGAGAGGCTGGAGTATAGACCACAGACTATACGGTCCGGTCCAGACCACGCATGTGCGGTCTGGTCCAGATAGACCACACTCAAAGAAAAATGAACAATTTGTTTAGTCAACCACACAAAAAATTGAACCAATAATCAAGAAAAATAATTGTTATTTGCCTTAAAACATTAATCCTAACATGCATGAATAATTTTGATACCCTAAATCTTAGTACATAACAAAAAGGGTTAATTACAAGGTTGGTCACTGAGATTACCAAAAACTTTCATGTTTGGTCACTAAAAATATTTAATTCCATTCGTGGTCACTAAAATTAGATAAATGGTTCAAATTTGGTCACTCTCCGTCCAATTCCGTTAACTTTTGCTTATGTGGCAGTCAACTTTCATAATTGACCGTTAAATAAATGACGTGGCACTTAAAAATAATAAAATATAATCATTTACAATTTCCACCTCATTTTTACAATAAATTAAAATAATAAAATAGTTATAATAACTAATTGAAGTGAGAAGAATGGCCTCTAAGTACCATCCGATAATGAATTATAAATCTATAGCCAAGTTACTCAGATCCCATTCAGACCACTACATCACCGTCGCCGTAATTCTCCGACCAGCTATGCTTTCAGCCCTGTGTCGTCGGTCGTTGCTAGACCAGAGTACCTCCGTCGCAGTCTGTCTTCGTCGGGTTCCGCCTCCATCTCCAACCCTCTTGTCGCTCCGCCTACCAACCGCCGCACCGCCGCACCGCGTGTCACTAGCCTTCTCGTCGCTCCGCCTACCAACCGCACTGCCTCCCATCAGCACTCGCAGGGAAGGGAGAGCTAGAGATAGGACTGCTTTTGGATTAGCCTTTTTAGGATGTTGGGTGATTTCCTCGCTCAAGCATCCTCGCCGCGTCAAGCTTCCACCAGTGCTTTGCTTGATTTGAACACCGAAGAGGCAATTAAAACCTAGATCTTGGCGTCTAGCACAACTGACAGAAGTTCTCGACAATTGAAACCAATGGTTCTAACTCGCGGCCTCCGCTTCAGACGTATGTCACCGCCACCGCTTCTCACGATTTCACTTCCTCCTCTTGCAATCGCGCGCTCATCGGCACAAGGAGTGAGCGAAGAAGTGCTCTCAGGGTAAAGGAGTGAGTGTCGACTGAGATTTCGCAGGCGAAGGAGCAGTGCGAGCAGCAGGAACAATAGAAGAAGGGGTGACAGCGGCAGTGGCGTTATCATTGTCGAGGAAGGTGGAGACGGCGGCGTCGAGATCCCATTGGTGGCTCTCGAGGAAGAAAGAAGCTTCCTGCCTGGTGGAGGTGACCTCGCAGAAGGAATTGACGAGAGCGGAATTCGCGTTGTCGTTGAGATTGAGATTCCCACCGGCGGCTTCCATGTTCGGTTTCGAGGGGTTTCGTCGGACCTCTAGGCGTACGATAGGTGTGAGCCGGTTGCTGGATTAGGTATTGGTATTGGTATTGAGATTAGAAGAAATTAGGGGTTTTTATTTATTTTAAATAAAAGTGATAATGAGGTGGAAATGAGATAGCAATTTTAAAAATTTAATTTTATTATTTTTAAAATGCCACATCACACATTTAACGGTCAACTTTTAAGTTGACCGCCACGTAAGCAAAAGTTAACGGAGTTGGACGGAGAGTGACCAAATTTGAACCATTTAACTAATTTTAGTGACTACGAATGGAATTAAATATTTTTAGTGACCAAACATGAACGTTTTTGGTAATCTCAGTGACCAACCATGCAATTAACCCATAACAAAAATACAAAGTAAAAGCATCCCAACTTGCACCGTAACGTTATAAACATTAACATAATGTCATACGTAGACACGATTATCTCTACTCTCTTGTTAAATGTGGTAGTGAATGAAGAAGGGACTAGATTCTCAAAATTAAGGTTGAGACTTGAGTGTCGTTGTGGGGGTTGGGAGAGTGATCGAATGGGCTATTAACACGTATTGACAAGTCGGTTGGGTCCACGGTTTGGTCCGGTAAACCACGATCTAGACCAAACCAGACCAAATGATCAAAACATAAAATAATACGAAACATGGACCAGACTAAACCATACTTAATTAATTCCAGACCAAACTGTGCAGTACGATTTGGACCACGGTCTGGAATATTTTACCAGCCCTAGATATTACTATAAAATAACCTACTGCTAACTAGTACAGTTTTGTGGACCATGATAAAAAGTAGACTATATAGGAGAATGAACCATGCATTTGAAACATCTCTTTGAAACAGTACCACTTTCAATCGTTATCCCCTCATAATCAGACATAGTAATAAACCTCCTGGTTCCCAACGAAAGGAGAAATAGAAACGCAGCTAGTCGTACACTAAGAAACAAACTTCAAGGGGAAGGCAAACAATCCTCCAAAATTGACAATATTCTGCAGCTATATCAAGGGGCTTTAAGTTAAGACATCCTTTGGGCAGCTTCCTTGGCCAACAGTCTCTCCTTGGCTTTGGTCTTGGCCTGCGACTTGGATCCCATGATCCCACCACCCCACTTCTTCCTGTGTTCGTCAAACTTGTCGTTGAAGTTAGCCTGCAAATACACATAGCAAAGCGACTGTTAAGACCCACAACAACACACAAGGTTCCGGAAGGACAGCCATGCACGATTATAATTGTATGTATGGGATATCTGCCACAAGTTAAAGATCATTTATGATCAGTAGATCGTCAAGGTGTTTGTCTAATTGTCCATTACCTTCACTGCCTCCAGAATCTTGCTGAACTCCATCTTGTCCTCGTTCTTCACAGATGTAAGGCACAAGGCTGCAGCCGTCTTCTGGTGGACTATCTGTATATACATTGTTATTACTTATTAGTATATGGCTCGAAACGTAGAGTATTGATTTCCAACTCAGGATGGCAACTGAGAAATTTACCGCTCCGAGGCGAGACTTGCCCTTCACGATAGCATATGGGACCTCCATCTTACGGCAAAGTGCAGGCAGCCAGACAACCAGCTCAATTGGATCAACATCATGAGCAATAACCACCAGCTGGGCTTTACCCTACATAGAGATAATAAATATGCGTATCATGACAATGGGGATCAGCATCACCAGAAACTTGAAACAGAGAAGACGGGAGGCTATAATGTGGAATAATTGTAACAAAATAATCAAGTTGTGAAACAAAAGGAATACCTGCTCAATAAGGTAAGTCACGTGGTTAAGTCCATACTTAACAACAATGGGCTTCTTGGACTCCACAGTCTTCCCTTCAGCTTCGGCTTGTGCTTTGCTAATAAGCCTTTCTTTCTTAGCAGCTTTGTCTTCCGGGCGATACTTCAGCAAAAGCTTGAACAGCTGAGTGGCTGCAACATAGGATAATGAGGAAAAAAGGTCAATAATGCATAATGAAATATTTTCATGAACACCATCAGAAGGAAAAAAAAGAATTTTCCTGAAACCTTACCTAGGTTCTTGTCCAGTGCTTTAGTGAACTGGTTCACAGCTGGGGGAACCTTCAATCGTTGCTTCAGGATCCTCCTTTGCCTTTGAATACGAACAACATGAGGCCACTTGACAAATCTAGTCAAGTCTCTCTTCGGAGGGAGAGCACCACCAATTCCAAATTGCTTCGGCCTTTTCTCAAACAATGGATTCACAACCTTATCCTGCAGTAGTTATTTGTGCGTGAGATCTCAACAAACCCAATTGCATTATGGAAAAGTACAATTCAAGATAGAAAAATGTTAACAAACATGAAGATTTGTGCGGGAACTGACTAAACGCGTCACAGCATAAATTTACTAAAGCCAATCATAATGACAGAAGACAGGGGCTGACTAAAGCATCAGAGAATCCCAAGGAGATCAATGAGCCTACAACAACTCTAAGGAACTCAACAACCAAAAGGATTCATAGACAAGCAGACCAAGACTAGCTATGAAAGCTTCAGAGACTCAAGTAACTAAAAGAAAGAGATTACTTACAGATTTCTTCTTTGCAGCTGCTGCGGGCTTAGCACCTCTTTTTGGGGCCTAAGGACACAAGGAAAGGACCAAAAGTAAGTCACAAACAGTAAATAAACGAAAACCCAGCATAATCTCAGACAAGCTTCCTGCAGATCAGTAAGTTCACACAATAATAACATCCCGATACTGGCAATCCCTGAACCCAGACTAGCAGCGCAAACGAGTTCACAATGAACAAACACACCATAAACTTGACATCAGCTTACGAGCACAGCTCAGGACGCTCTAAGATTTTAGTTTACTCGCAGATGATCCATATACTCTGCTTCTCCCATAATGAGACATTCAATAGAAACAAGCCATACAAATCGCATACTAGGTCATATGAGTCCCAGGTTCCAAACAACCAATTCCCACCACACATATGAAATGAAAGCGGCCGAACCAAGAAGAAAAATATAAAACTTTGAGGACACATGTAAGCTCCAACATATATATTGCAATTCTATACTCTTACCATGAACAACCTATAGCAGCTTGGCAAAACGGAAAAAAAAAAATCCAGTTAACAGGTAGAAAATTTCAATTTGAAAGCCTAAAGCTATCTAAGTCGAGGGTATTCAAGCTAATAAACCTATAATCAAAATCCCGGGGACTGGTGAAATAGATCTAGGCAGCCGGACACGAGGAGCGACGATGTCAAATCATCAAACATACGAAAGATAAGAAGAGCCTTCAACCGTAGAACCGTAGAATGAGCGGAGGAAAAACTATATCTGTTTGGAGAGTTGGAGATAAGTACCATGGTTAACGACGAGACGGCGGCAAGGGGTAAGAAGTGGCGTCGCTGGTTCCGGCCGAAGTGCAAAGGAGAGAAATATATATGAGCGGAGCTCTCGCTTCTGTTGAACTAGGGTTTTAGGGCTGAGCAGCTTGGCCTGATTGATGTACCGCGGAAGGTCGCGGTTAAATTAGTTGGCACAAAACGAATCTGGCCCATGGATATGGGCCTCGCTGGCTGTACGCAAGCCCAAATCGACTGTCAAAAGAGTTGGTATTTACAATTTCACCCATAATGCGCAAAAATAGTCAAACCTTTCAAGTTAAGGACAAAAATAGCGAAAACTATAGGAAATACCATAAAATGGCCAAAACATTAAGTATACTGGATAATTATAGACATCCGTCAGTTTAACCGTAAATTCGTTGATGTGGCTAACGGTGTAAAATACTCATTGAATCCATGTGTTTTGTCACGTCAGCAAAATCAATCAAAATAATTTTTTTATTTATGATTAAAAAAATATATTGCAAAAGCTCCTCTCTCTTTGACCACCTTTCTCTCCCTTTCGCCCGCAGATCCTCACATCTCTGATTCTCCTCCACACTAGCTTCCAGTCCAACCGAAAAACAATTCAACCATTCGCGTTCTTCTTTCACGCCTCCTCGAGATGGTGAGGAACCGCTGATGCTGGGAAGGATAAAAGTTTCATGGACTGTGTTCGGAGGCGGTGGCGGAGAGGAATGTAGGGTTAGCGTATTTTTCGCCGTAGGTGGAGAAAGGAGGGTTCGGAGAGAGCAGATCAGTTAGTCCTTTTTTTTTTTTGTATTTTAATTGATTTTGCTTACGTGACAAAAACGTGGATTCTATGTGTATTTTTTGTTAGCCACGTCAACGAATTTAATAGTGAAACTAATGGATGACTATAATTGTCCAGTATAGTTAAAGTTTTGGTTATTTTATGGTATTTTTCATATAGTTTGGCTATTTTTGTTCATAACTTGAAAGGTTTTGCTATTTTTGGGTATTAACCCCACTTTTTATGATGGTTGGAGTTTAATCTTGCGCTTAGTCACGCCTAAACGCAGATAGTGTTAAAACGTCTCGTCTAGCAGTTCCGCATCGAATTAGATATTATATGTTGACCGAATAAGGCGACACTTAACTATCTACTAAGCATAATTTGATGGGGATAGGCGGTCAATATCAAATTGGCGATTAGCATCATCTACAAACTAAATCTTCTATATCAATAATCATCAATAGCTCGATAACTTTACGAGCATTGAACTATGACTATGAATTTGTGAACTAATTTTCTTATTGTTATATATTATATAAATAAGTTATTAATCATTTTAAATGAAATATTTTTAAATGGAGTGTTTTTATAGCAAACTGTCTCGTACCTTGCATTTTGAACCATGAACGGTCTCTTCACACAAAACAACCGTAACTGCAGAGATCATAATAAAACATCAATGTAATGTGGAGATTGGACAATGATGGAGCATCCCTTATCCGAAGACTATTCACATAACTCAGACGAGGAGACGTCTGAAATTCTCCAAAACTCATGACAATATTAACAAGCCACGCGTTTGCATCGAACTAGAAAATTCAACATAGAATAAAACTCATCAGAAAATGGAATTTCTTCCTGTTTCGGTTCGAGGAAAATAAGGGTTTGAGATACTATTCTTACATGGTTTTGGTCAGATTACGTCTTGGTTCTATCCAAGCCACTAAATTCCTTGTTTATTTTCAAAATGACCACTATTGCACCACTATCTCGTAAGTTTACGAAATGTATGGAAATCTATTGTCGCACATGCATGGCATGCAAAAATAATCTTCTAATAAGCTAGGGTTGCGACAAGTAGGTGTAGAAATATTCAATTAGGAAAAGTAATATAATAATGGTATAATAGAGCATGCGGCGGATCCAGAACACAGAAGAGCATTGGGCCGCATTTCATTAGAAAATTAGAACCGTAAAAAAAATATAATGATCATAGTTATTTGCAATGTAAACTGTACACGACTGTATTTTAATTTAGGAAATGCATCAATAATGGAGTCTACATCCATACCAATAGTATACACTGTTTAAAATAAAATACATGAGCAATCTGCGAGAAATTCATCGCTCATTTTGTTGAGCAAATCAGTTCTCACATGTTTCATTGTTGAATAGGTTCTCTTCGTAGTAGCTATTGAAACGAGCAGCATCAACACTAGATAAATCAATCGACTAATCAATTTGCATTGTGTGTCCATCCCTGCACACCAGCTGCTCTAGTAAATTTTTAAGCGAACAAACCTCATATTTTTTTAGTCTTTTACGTTTTAAACATTTTAGAATTTTGGGTTTTTTGTTTTTTTATATAAGACGCATAATCTTTGGGGCTAAAATTTCTAGGCTAAATTTAGAGTAGTGATTTGAATATGTTCAACTTAATAATTTTTTTAGTTAAACTTTATCTTATCATAGAATAATACTGGGTCGAATGTCTAAATTCAAAATTTTCATAAGGACTATAGTAACTATGGATCCAGAGGAGGGCTGGGCCGGGGCCGCTGGATCCGCCAGTGAGCATGCCAATTGCCATATGGATAAAATAAGAAAGTAAATTAGTGCATAATTTTACATGGTTCATTAACCCAAGATTACCCGACTCCAATTGTTGGATACATAAACATATCAAGAAGCTGAGAGAATAATCAATTAACCAAACAAAATCCCGAGATTGGAGAGTAAATCGATGACTAGAGAACAAGCTCACAACGAAGGCAATCATGACAGGAAACCTCTATGTTGCGACTCCGCCGCTCCGGTACAATATAACAAACCAATTAATCCCTATAATTAAGGTTCAAGAAGACGTTAAGCGTAGGACGGGCATTGAGGCCTTGCCTAGTGCCTAGCTTGACTAGGCGTTATCTAAGCGTGTCTAGACTTGTGTCGCCTTATTTGTTTGTCATTATCTTCATACTTCATAACTTGTCGCAAAACTCCTAGGTAGAGGTGGCAATTGGATCGGATTCGTGGATTCGTGGATTGGATTGGTAGATCCATGGATCAAATGGATTGGATCCAATGGATTGGTGGATGGATCCATGAATCCAAATGACATCCAAGGCTTGGACCAAAATGTAAATTTTGAAAAATTAAAGTACTAAAATGTCATAATGAAAAATTTTAGGTACCAAAGTGTAATTTTACAATAATTTTTTTCGTATAAAAATATAACTTTTAGGTACCAAATGTAAAATATAAAAAATATAGGTACCAAATCGTAATTTGTCATTTGGATCCACGGATTGATCCATGAATCCACCAATCCAATTGGATTTGGATCAAATGGATTGGATTTAAATGAATTATATTAAGTGGATAATTTGGTGGATGGATTGGATTGGATTCATGGATTTGGATCCTAATTGCCACCTCTACTCCTAGGCGACACATTTTGGTGTTGCCTAATACCTAAACGCACCCAAGTATAGGATTAAGCTCGATCGCCTTTGTGAACAATGTCTATAATTAAGAATGATTCAATTATTAATCTTATATCATTTACTAAGATAATTCTCATCAACAAATACCTTGCAATCCCCATGCTGCCTTGATCACTGAAGCTAGAAGACTTTTGAAGCTGGATTGGCAAGTGGAGCTACTCCATACTTACAGGGAAGGAAACGTTGTTGCCGATTACTTGGCCAATTTAGGCCATGGTCTCCCGCCAGGGACTCACACTTTTGATTTCCCTTCTTCTACTCTATCCTATTGGCTGTATCATGACTTGATTGGGGTCCAAACCCCTCGATTAATCCCTACTAGTTAAAAGGCTGGAGCGCCCTTAGTTCCTTTTCCCACCAAAAAAAAAAACAAATAAAACCTCAATAAATATTGTAATTTGTTTTATATCATGTTGGGAATCAACTGGTTTTATACGACTCCCCTACTTGTACCACAGACTTAACTTCTTACGTTAGGATTTAGGAATCATGGGTTCGTACGTAATTCAATTATAGTATTGCCCCCAATGGCTTTATAAACGCCGATAGTAATTTACAATACCTCCACCATTAAGCCCATGATCAGTAGCCCACCAGAACCCCCAAAAATTCCTGATTCTGACTTCAACATTCCATTAAACAACTATCAACTATATATATATATATATAGCTAGCTTATTCTCCACCTTAACCTATTACATTTCTCCCCGCTAGCTTATTCACCACATATATATATATATATGCCCTGCCCTGCACCATCGTTCTTAATTAGTACCAATTGTAAACAGATAGAAATTAAAATGGAGATTGCAATTGCTCTGCGCTTATTGGGTTTGCTTCTTTTCGTGCTCCTCTGTAGTGATGCAACTTTCAGAAGAAGCAAGGCAGAAGTCGGTTCAGGCGACCTAAGAAAGATCCATGAAGTCAACAAGATAGGTCCGTATTTGGGGATTGTGGTGCCGAACATGTTCGAGATGAACCCTCTTCTCCAGCCCGATCGTTTCATGTCCGATCCGACCACTCCTACCCTCGATATTATGGGTACGTTACGTATATCATGTCACCACATCGAGACAGAACCGTTGATTAGCTATGTGCAGTCCACAAGGAACTACAACCCCCTCAAATTTGATCTTACGTTATAATGTGTATATATTTTCACACCTTGCAAAACCATACAAAAAAAAAAAAAAATGGTAGGATGGGAGGATAGGACTGTATATAATTAAGCCTCCTTCCAAAACTTAGGTTCAATCATCCAAAATTGTTATAATTTGTTATCTTCAGCCCCTCCTCCTTTTGCTAACGGAATTTTCATTACAACTTAACACATGTGCTCACTTCAGTTATTGTCGTCGTCGTGACAGGAAGAAGGTTTAGGATAGGAAAGGTGGGAGATCACAAGGTTATCATTGTGATGACAGGATTAAGCATGGTACCCTTTATTTCCCCCCAAATTAAACTGATTAATTCATCATCCTCTGTTTTTTGGGTTCTGATTTCTGGGTTTTCCGGCGAGATAATTAGCTGAATGCAGGAGTAACCACAGAATTACTTCTGACCCTGTTCAACGTGGAAGGCATCCTCCACTACGGAATCGCGGGGAACGCGAATCCGGAGCTCCAGATCGG